TTTTTTGGTACTAAGGATCGAACTTGGGTCCTTGCACTTGCCAGGCAGGCCTCATAACCACAGAGCTAAATCCCCAGCCTGCATTCCTTTTCTTCAAAGTCTAATCTCAGCACTCAGGAGGCTGAGGCAAGAGGATCGCCAGTTTCAGGAAGCCTGGGTAACATAGTTATTTCAAGGCCAGCCTAAACTACACAGCAAGAACCTGTCTCAATAATAAATACATACATACATAAGTCTTTAAACCATAGTTGTAAAGCAAATGTTTACTTTAAAGAGAACAACTAGAATGACTCCAGAAAATTTTATGAAAATGTAGTCCCTACAGGTAGAGAGCACAGTAATACAAAGAAAACTGGGCCATTCCACAAACATGCACTGACAACAAAAAATACACTTAAGAAAATATCAAAGAATTTCTCCCCATTACAAAACTAAGGTCATAATGAGTTCAAGGAAATGATAAAAGAAACTTCCTTAAGGCATACACACACCTTAGACCAAAACTATAATTACACAGAGTTGAAAAGTATCTACTTTCTCAGAATAACAATGAGCCACATAATGCTAAGAAACCAGCCTGATCTAGGTTTAATAGATTCTGCCTTTGTAAGACATAGCCAACCTAATCTCATAGATTTGGGCAGGACAAAGGTTTCAATCTTTAGCTCGGAAAAAGTTCCAAAGTATCAAATGCTTAAATAGACTGTTCCAGTCTCCTTTATCAAAAATGTCTCTGTAGGTGTTAATCAGTCACTACGAGGAATCCTGTACAAAGCCACCTGTGTGGATTTGGTCTTTTTACTACAGGAAGTAGAAAGTTGTTTATCAAAAACACATTTCGTTTTCAAAAGTCTTGAAAACTAATCCTTATAAAAATAACTAATTTGCATTTCATTCCAAAATGAACAAAGGGCAGAATCTCCCAGATGGTCAAAAACTTCTCTTGGTAAAATCAGGTGTTGGGTTATGGGCTTTGTTTTTTGTTTTACCCTGGAGGTAGTTCATAGAGTATATAAATAGAAATGTTTAGCAAAATTTAATCTCATGAACAAGATCTTTATTCAGAATTCTCACATATAAAATTAAGTTTTATGTCACATTTTCTCAAATGACAGACATTAAAACTAGGTAGTTTTGTTCTTTTAACACTAAAAGCTATTTAGAAGAAACTTACGTCTCTTTTTGTCACAAGGACAAGTCAATGCAGAGACAGGCAAAGGTGTCTACATCCTTAACAAGACTAAAATTTTTCAAAAAAAGACAAGAAAAAGCAAGTAAAACACAGCCACCTACAGATCACAAGTAGCAGGTGACAGAAAGCCACTGAGGAACTTCACGCCTAGTGGAAGACCTTTGCCAGAGTCAATGCGTCCCAGGCTACCCCGGATCCGCAGAACCCCACTCCTAAAACGGGCCAAGAGACCGAAGACGGTATTAGACCAAGGCTGTCACCCTGGTCATAGAGGAGAAGCAGCTTCCTGAACCCAAGAGCTACCCCGCTCCCTCCAGGCTGGCAGAGGAGTCCCGTTCACCCCAAGACACAAAGAAACTGAGCCGACCAGACCTCAGAGGATGAAATGGGGAGCGGGGAGAGGGAGGCCACAGCTATATCTGTGCTAGGTCCCCTTGAACAATTCTACCTTCAGTCTTCTCAAAAGTAAAAACGAAACGCGAAGGGGAGGAGGTGAGCGATGACAGCTCCAGAAAGGGGCACCGGGTCCACTCGGGGTACCTCACACGGGGTGGGGGTGACAGTTTGCGGCGTGCGGACAGGGACTCGTCATCCCCGGAGCCCGGCCGGGT